GGGGACCTCCAGACACTGAAGCTTGTTGGAATCAGCAGCTACAAAGAATTGAAAGCAAGAGCAACAGAGATGGAGTAAACTGAAGTGCTATGAACATGAAGTGTGATGGAAGTGACATCAAGAATCCTGACACTCACTGGAACTCATGGTGTTTCCCCAGCCAGTAACACTGCACATAGTGCCATCGGCGGCACAGCCATTGGGCAGGGCCACAGTCTGCACGTACTGATTGAGGGTAGCGGGCTTGCTAAGCTTGATCAGCATGATGTCACTGTCAAGGATCCAGGAGTCAAAGTTGGGGTGGCGGATGACCTTCTCAGAGGAGATGAACTGCTCAGATCCCTCATTTACTACGATGTTGTGCTCGCCCAAACGGACCTCCACACGTCTGAAAGACAAAGTCTAATATTATTCAGAACTGAGGAAACCAATGGACTGATACATTAACTATTTTATGAACACATCACTTACGACATGTAGCAGTGAGCAGCAGACACAACCCAGTACTCGCTGACCAGAGAGCCACCGCAGAAGTGGTAGCCAGAGTTCAGAGACACCTGCCAGGGCTGGGAATAGGGTGTGCACTCATATCCACCAACAATCTTGTCATCATCCAGAGCAACTACACAAATGAGAGAGTATCGTCAGTATATTGACTATAATTACCTGCAAAATGAGTGAAAGTCATAACTGCAGTGAATCAGTGAATGGAGTCTATAACTCACAGGCGGCTCCAAGGAGCACCAGGAACATCAAAGACCTCATGACTGCTGATTGAACCTGTTCCATGAAGGTCTCGCTCCTCACTCGCAGTATTTATGGAACTGTCAGCCTATGTATTCACGCCCAAGCGCTCCGCCATTGACCAATCAACTCCAAAAGACCTTTCTGAATATGTATATTTTAGGCTTTGTGACCTTGACAGCAAGTTTCCAGCGGGAAACATGTTTTCGACAGCTGTCCATCTTCTCACCCATGGTTTGCATTTGAACATTTCTCTATATTCAATGTCATTTTGGGTGTGCTTAGTTTTTACATTCAGCAGTCATATTTCTGTATGTAGTACACACTGTTTATTACAGTATGTAGAGAGTATTTATTTCAATTGGATGATGAATGATGACATGTTCTTTCTGTATTGTCCATCCAATAATAGCAGTTTTGTTCAGATAATACAGGGGTCTGTTGAGTTCAAAAAATAATTTAACAGCTTGTTAAACATTTGTACATTTAATAACAATCACAGCGGTCTTCAACGGATATGGAGATCTTTTATTCTGTCAGAGAGTATGTTGATTCATTCAGTCCACTGTTAAACGTTTGTTTAATTGAGTGTCTGATGTAAGTCTAAATCCTACAGAAACACATTTATATTGACAGCATGGAACACTTTACTGTTTTTAAGCACTTATTTCATTACCATCAGAGACGCTTGAAGTTGAAAATACAACTATAATGCAACACAGTTAACGACAATGTACAGGTAAAATGAGAATGTTTTTTCTGTGAAATGTCCATTATCACTGCAGTTTTTTTTACCAGTTGTGGGACATATTTATATCAACATATCCTATATCAGAATCAGAATGAGCTTTATTGCCAGGTATGTTTACACATACGAGGAATTTGTTTTCATGACAGAAGCTTCCACAGTGCAACAGCATGACAGTGACAGAACAAAAACACAGATAATAAAAATAAAAATAGAACAAGTAAATAGGGAATAACAATATACAGATTGACAATTGTATGTACAGGTATATTACAATAGACAGTTTTGTATGTACAGGTATATTATGTGCAAATTCGAAATGTAAACTAAGTATATGTGTTAGATAAATAAGTATATAAGTGCACTTATATACTACACTATAAAATAGTGTTGTGTGTTCCACAATTATTGTCAAGTGTTCATGAGATGGATTGCCTGAGGGAAGAAACTGTTCCTGTGTCTGGCCGTTCTGGTGCACAGTGCTCTGTAGCGTCGACCAGACGGCAACAGTTAAAAGAGGGAGTGTGCTGGATGTGAGGGGTCCAGAGTGATTTTGCCAGCCCTTTTGCTCACTCTGGAAAAGTACAGTTCTTGGAAAGTAGGGAGGGTTGTACCAATGATTCGCTCAGCAGTCCGGACTATTCGACGTAGTTTTCTGAGGTCAGATTTGGTTGCTGAGCTGAACCAGACAGTTATAGAAGTGCAGAGGACGGATTCAGTGATGGCAGAGTAGAACTGTTTCAGCAGCTCCTGTGACAGGTTGAACTTCCTCAGCTGGTGAAGGAAGTACAACCTCTGCTGGGCCTTTTTCACAATGGAGTCAATGTGAGTGTCCCACTTCAAGTCCTGAGAGATAGTGGTGCCCAGGAACCTGAATGTCTCTACTGTTGTTACAGTGCTGTCCATGATGGTGAGTGGGGGGAGAGCATGGGGGTTTCTCCCGAAGTACACGATCATCTCCACAGTTTTGAGTGTGTTAAGCTCCAGGTTGTTAAGACTGCACCATACAGCCAGCTCTTTAACCTCTCGTCTGTAAGCAGATCCGTCACCGTCCTGAATGAGGCCGATAAGTGTGGTGTCATCTGCAAACTTTAGGAGCTTGACAGAGGGGTCCTTTGAAGTGCAGTCATTTGTGTAGAGGGAGAAGAACAGTGGGGAGAGAACACATCCCTGAGGGGCGCCAGTGCTGATGGGACGGGTGCTGGATGAGAATTTTCCCAGCTTTACTAGCTGCTGCCTGTCTGTCAGGAAGCTGGTGATCCACTGACAGATGGAGGTGGGCACGGAGAGCTGAGATAGTTTGGGCAGGAGGAGGTTTGGGATGATAGTGTTAAAAGCCGAGCTGAAGTCCACAAACAATATCCTCACATAAGTCCCTGGTCTGTCTAGATGTTGCAGAACATAATGCAATCCCATATTGACTGCATCGTCCACAGACCTATTTGCTCTGTAGGCAAACTGAACAGGATCCAGCAAGGGTCCATGTCCTTCAGGTGGGCCAGCACCAGTTTTTCAAATGATTTATATAATCTCTATATCTATATAATCTCCATCTGAAATTGGCCTGCTTTAAATATAATCCTATAAGTCATGTGCATTATAAAATCATTTTGTTTTTACATTTACATTTATTCATTTCGCAGAGCTTCTCATAGCTTCTCTTAACTTTCTCTTTTTTTAACTCTTTCCCAATCATTGATGGAGTTTTTAATATTTCCGTGTTTTTACTGTTATCAGACTACAGATACTATTCATTGATTACATGATTACTTTTCATTAATTACTTATTCATACAATAGTAATACATTATTCATAATGTATTGATTCTCTTTAATTATTCTTTTTCATCTTTTCAAATTTCCTTTCTAAAATAGCCTACCACTTATATACATTCACACAAAGACAAGTTACTAGTCAGGTGACTATGATTACACAGAAAATTAAAAGGACACACACAGCATTGGATTTACAGAAATCATTTCAACTTTAAGTAGTGTTTTCTCAAAATTTTAACACTGCATCAACTACTGGTAAACACCTTCGTTTTTATTTGAATTATCGCTCAGTGCTTTATGCAACCATGTATTACTGTGTCTTTCGAAGTCATTTGTCTTTCAAACACAGTAAAATGCACAAATTCACATTTGTTGTTTACATGTAATGTAGGGATTTCTTTTTTTTGTCAGCTGAACTTCTTTGACCTAATCTATTTCCCTGAAGCACCTGCTGATATTTTAAGATAAGTAAATAAGTAACTTTTGTCACAGTTCTCTGACCTTAGTTAATGGTCACATGACACAGTAAACAAATTAAATATTTATTTTTTCAAGTAAATGTTTTATTTTGATTGTTGATATTTTAAAATGATTTATGTTAATTTCACATTTTTATAATTTAATTATGAACTTTTCGTTAAACTCACTAACCCCTGCAGTTCCTCCATAAACCCCATTTTGAGAAACCTTGACATAATGTTCAATGCACTCCATGTTGTTAATAACAACTTCTTTCTCTTTGTATTTTTCTAACAGTGTGGTACAAGATTATCCTTTTAAACCAATGTGATAAACAAGTTACGTTATAAGTAATCCAAAATATAATCAAAATGTAGTCTGATTATATTACCTAAAATGTGTAATGGATTTTGTTACTAACTAAAATATTTATCATATAATTTGGAATCAGTAGCTACTACAATTTGTAAGTAATCTACCCAGCATTGCTAACAAATATCAATAACAATATACCTTATGCTTGTCTTTAAAGGAGACATAACACACAGTTTCTCTCATATTAATCTTGAGTACCTATAGAATAGTATTGCATCCTCATGACCAAAACACATTTATTTGGTGACTGTTGATTTTGTGGTCAACAACAAAACGTAAAGTCCTTCTTGAGCAAGCCCTGTGCAGTGCTGCCGACATCTTCCGTAATGTGAATGAAACAGGTCGATGGGCGTTCTCTTGCTCTCGTTTTGGTTTATGTGTGCAAGCCTCTTTCTAGAGAGATCTGCACATAAAAGGAATTCCGCCCTTTATGGCGTCATACAGGGCTATACTCGTAAAAATCTTTCCGACACTTATACAAACCCTGAAGGAGTTTCTTTGGCACAGAAATACTCCGTCAAACGTCCAACGCCTTTTTTGAAACTTTGGTCATGTTTAGCATAAGAATCCAACTTTTTAGCATTTAGCATAAGAATCCAACTTTTTAGCAGTGTAAATAAGTCAGAATGCATGAAATAGTATAGACATCCCCTCCAACATTTCTTTTGTTGGACATTCCTAAATGCTTGTTTCTTTTTGATAGGATAACTGTGTTTCTTCATAAACTGCTTGTCAGTATTAATTTCTAGAAATATTGAAAACATTTTTTTGTGTGTTGCTTTGTCAAGTAATTTTTGCTAAGAGCATCATACATTTAAATGTCGGCCTGTTAAAGTGCTTAAAACAATATATTCAGTGTTACTTGACAAATATGAATGAAGCACTTGGAAAAAGCAGAATATTTTAAATGCTTTTATTTTCACAGGTTTTTAATCTTCAAAACAAAGAAAAACTGATGGATTGCAGATTTGGAGGCTGTATGTGATTTTGAATCAGCTTTAGTTGTTACTCATGGTGTCGGCGATCCATTGGCTGAACATGCAGACCTTGAAGAAAAGAGAATTCATAAAAATCATATACGTGCTTCATATTAAACTAAACATATTGCTTTGCAACAATTATTAAACAACAACAGCTATATTACCTTGCCATAGACACCAGGATGATCCTTCTCAGCACAGCCATAACCCCAGGACACAATACCCTGCAGCTCACCATTGCACACCACAGGGCCACCAGAGTCACCCTGAAGAAGACAAACATAACCACTGGTTATTATTAAGATACTATTGATATGTGTGCAACAACGGTACATCTTGTCATCCTCTACCTGGCAAGAGTCCTTTCCTCCCTCCAGGTATCCAGCACAGAACATGGTATCGGTGATCATACCAGGGTAGGAGTTGTTACAGTCGCTGTTGGATAGGATGGGGACCTCCAGACACTGAAGCTTGTTGGAATCAGCAGCTACAAAGAATTGAAAGCAAGAGCAACAGAGATGGAGTAAACTGAAGTGCTATGAACATGAAGTGTGATGGAAGTGACATCAAGAATCCTGACACTCACTGGAACTCATGGTGTTTCCCCAGCCAGTAACACTGCACATAGTGCCATCGGCGGCACAGCCATTGGGCAGGGCCACAGTCTGCACGTACTGATTGAGGGTAGCGGGCTTGCTAAGCTTGATCAGCATGATGTCACTGTCAAGGATCCAGGAGTCAAAGTTGGGGTGGCGGATGACCTTCTCAGAGGAGATGAACTGCTCAGATCCCTCATTTACTACGATGTTGTGCTCGCCCAAACGGACCTCCACACGTCTGAAAGACAAAGTCTAATATTATTCAGAACTGAGGAAACCAATGGACTGATACATTAACTATTTTATGAACACATCACTTACGACATGTAGCAGTGAGCAGCAGACACAACCCAGTACTCGCTGACCAGAGAGCCACCGCAGAAGTGGTAGCCAGAGTTCAGAGACACCTGCCAGGGCTGGGAATAGGGTGTGCACTCATATCCACCAACAATCTTGTCATCATCCAGAGCAACTACACAAATGAGAGAGTATCGTCAGTATATTGACTATAATTACCTGCAAAATGAGTGAAAGTCATAACTGCAGTGAATCAGTGAATGGAGTCTATAACTCACAGGCGGCTCCAAGGAGCACCAGGAACATCAAAGACCTCATGACTGCTGATTGAACCTGTTCCATGAAGGTCTGGCTCCTCACTCGCAGTATTTATGGAACTGTCAGCCTATGTATTCACGCCCAAGCGCTCCGCCATTGACCAATCAGCTCCCAAAGACCTGTCTGAAGTCTAATAAAGAATACGCTATCATTAAGTTTCCAGGAAGAGAAAACTGTATGTTAGGGTTGCATTGGCACCCAGTGTATAGAAAATATATAATATCAAGATATATATATATTTTAGACTTAATTTTCACATATAAAGCCAACACCTCCATAAGAGTGAAAATCCATCTGCGATACAATAATATTAATATTATAGGGAAAAATTAGAGCACAAAATTAAATTTTTAAACAGTGTAGATGAAACTGTGTGTCAATGTTTGATACAACCAGGGAGATCCAGCAGCTGTGCTGTTGAATATGTATATTTTAGGCTTTGTGACCTTCACAGCAGGTTTCCAACCCTGAAAGAAGTTTTGATCAGCTGTCCATCTTCTCACCCAAGTTTTACGTCTGTACTTGTCCCTGACTGTTTCACAATTTAGTCGAAAAACAGAACATTTTTCCTGGTCATTTTTCTCACAAGAAGTTAATAGATTGGTTGCAGTATTTCTAATAATCCAGTTTAAATTTCCAGTATGTCGACTTAAAAAGATGTTTACTCTGTTTGTGGCAATTTTGTTGTTGTTGTTTGTGAAATTTTATTTTACTCATGAGTTGTCTTTGTCAATGATTTCACTGCTAAACAAAGTTGTTCATGTTAATGTTACCTATTATAGCTTATATGTTTAAATCATATGCAATCAGTATTTGTGCTTTTTATAATGCGAAAATCTTATTAGCTTTAGATTATATGTGCAATTAGAATATTTAAATTACACTACAAATTAGAAATATCTGAAATTGTTACAAATTTAAAAAAATTTTAATGTTAACAAAATTGTTAAAATAAGTAAATGTTAACCTTTGCAGAATCTTAGTAAATTTTATTAAGAAATTCATCAATTAAAATAAATAGATTTATGAATTTGCATTTAACTGATTTAATTTTTCTCATGATGAATAGACCTTAACAAAAATTTTCAGCAGGTGAGATATAATTATGCTGCATGTGCAGTACATGTGCGTATATTCACATGACCTAAAACATGCTATCGAAAGGTTATGCAAAACACATTTGATCCCATTGTCATTTCACATTTACACCTTGGATAGGATGTTAAGTCCAGTTTAATCAAAGCCAACTGCAATGTATATTAATTACCAAGAATTCGATTTTGACTATTAATCATTTAGTTCATTACAGAACAGTACAAATGTCTCACTTATGTTTATCGTAAAAAAGCTTCATTTATAATTATTGTAAAATTACTTACAACATACAACAACTGCTTATTAAATATTGTGCCCTAAAACCTGACACATGTTAAAGTCATCTGGAAACAATAGATGCACAGGTCTAACATTTTCATTTTGCTAATGGCAGAGTAAATTATCCTTTGCTTATGATATTCTGTTTTGTTTTCCTGGCTCCACACGGTTAACATCAGTGTTCATGACATTAGTCTTGACAGATGGATATTGTACATTTTATCAGTATTTTTTCTTTAAGAAAGAGTCTAGATTTTTTCCTGCATTATTTACAAAAAGGAAAACATGCACAAATGTCTTACATCAACAGATTTATTCTTTATTGATTCTCACATTCAGATAGGAAGATATTGTTAGTCACAATTTTTTGATATAAGGTAAATTCAACCAATGATAAAAAGGATTAGTGAAATAAATCGTACATGTATATTGTAATTGATAAGGTCCTTTTTGTCAGGGTTAGTGTTAGGGACAAGGTATGCCGCACAGCACAGTCACAGTCAGGCTGTATGAGAATGACACTGAAGCCAGTTAGAATCAGCAGCTACAGAAAGAAAGAATGAAAGCAACAAACAATCTTAACACTTCATAATTGGTTACAAACTGACTCAAATCCTTCACTCACTGGAGTTGTGGTGTCTTGTCTAGTGACACTGCACATGGCAGCAGCAGGGGCAGAGCTGCTGGGCAGCGCAATATGCTGCATATACTGACTGATCAGCATCAAGTCACTGTAGAGTCACTAGAATCACTGCTTAGAACCCTCATTCAGTACAGTGTTGTGCTCACCCAAAAATCTCAGCATGACAGCTAAATTTGTTACGATTATTAGATTTTTGAAATTGTCACAGAGTGGAATGCATCAAATGTACTCAAGAATTAATAGTAAACTATATGTTAAAAAGGTGCAGACGCTTTTATCCAAAGTGACTTACAATTGGGGAATACATAAGCTAGAAAGGGAAGACAAAGTTTTTTTTTTTAAATTTAGGATAAAGTCAAATAAATAAATAAATAAATACATATACACTGTACATTTATATACACACACACACCGCTCCGATGATTTCCTGTTTTTATGAAGCCTCTCCCTCAGAAATACGCGATGGGATCTGATTGGTTAGCTGGCCCAGTGATTCAAACACCAATGAATGCACTTCTATACGTCACGCCCCTCACCTTAGAATGTGCTCTGGTTGTATTGTAAACAATGGCGTCGTCAATATCGCTTATCAATTTGAGCCCGAATGAGACTACAAACACCAATGAATTGTACATATGTGTACAATCATTTTAGACACTTCCAAAACTGTGGCAACAAAGATGGGTCATTGGTGTTTGGTAATGAGTTTTTGGCTCAAGGTCTGCATTTAAAGTCACACCAGAGGTGTTCAGCTGGGATTAGGACTTGGCTTTATGCAGATATAAGTTTCATATAAGTTCTTCCACACTGACGGAATAAAATAATTTTTTTTACCTTTCCTTATACACAGAAGCATTGTTGTGTTAGAATAGAAAAGGGTCCTGTCCAAACTATTGGTATAA